GTCCCAAGATGGCGAACCAGGGGTGGGGCAACTGAAGGGGCGGGGCTACCCATGCAGTACTCGGCAGCTCACCAAAACTCATAAAGTGGCCCTCTGCCGAAAATAATTGCCCGCCCCTGCCTTATATTGATAGCATTCATTCATTTCACATAGCCCCTAAACACTCCTCAAGCGGTAATGTTTTTTGTTGTAATCAATCTAAACTGGATTTGAAGCAGTGATCAGGATATAAATGCCTCAGATCCTACAACCAGTTCTTTACAGTCCATCCTTTCATCTCTGGAATATCATTATATGATCAAACTGGAGAGAGCATAGGGTCATAGAACACACAAAAATAATTCAGTAGCTGCTTCTTTCTGTACTTTTGGCTAAGGATGGATATAATGGAAACTGAATGTAAGGACCTCAAGAATAATGAAATACTGTTCAAATGAAGAGTGTGAAATTCCCAGTATATTTCAGTAGACTTTCATTTTCCATTCAGTGAAGCTTTGCTGTTCTTGCAGTACAGCTTTACACAGTGTTTTCTACTGTGCGAATCCTCTTGAAAAGCAGCTATTTTAATAATAGTTCTTAGTATTTAGGTGTTTAATTTCTCAGGAATAAAGAATTGATTAACTCTGAACAAGGTAGTAGGGAGAGGATTAAGTTATCACTGTTTAAAGGGAAATTAATTCTTTTCCAAATGGGTCTTCTATTCTAACGAAATACTCTGCTATATAATGAAGTTACTTGGGGAAATAACATTTCACTTGAGGAGGTTACATTGTGTCCTTCTGAAGATGACACAGTACAAGAGCTATACTTACATATTTTGCATTTATTTAGTGAGTACAACAACATTTTAGAGCCCAAGAAAATAAATAAGAGGAAGAACAGTTGCTTTTCCTGCTAAATTGTAGAAAGCAGAATATAAGATGGGGTAGAACAAAAATAGGACCTCTAATAAACTAAGTCAAATGTAAGATTAAGTTTCTGAATTAAAAATTTAACTATATCTTCCTACAGGTTGGTACAATCCGCTACATGGCACCAGAAGTACTGGAGGGAGCAGTGAACCTGAGGGACTGTGAATCTGCTCTGAAACAAGTAGATATGTATGCACTAGGCCTTATCTACTGGGAGATTTTTATGAGATGCACTGACCTCTTTCCAGGTAACTGTGGGATTTACCAGAATCATAAATTTCTTAAATGCATTTTTTAAATCAGATCCATTATGTTTGTCACAGAACAGAAAAAACAGTTCTTGTTTTTAAATATTAATCCAGTGCCATCTAGTGTTCAGGAGTATTACTGATATCAACACAGTATGCATCATTGTAATATATTGAAATCACTGGTGTATGTGGCCTTTTATTTGCCCTGTTAACCTGCTTGCAAGTCTGTTTATAATGCAGTTTGGATGAATCTTATCACTGCCTCGCTTCTCAGAACCATCATGTGTTGGGAAGACTACATAGTCAAATCAGTTGATTTCCATAATTGATGTAGCACCTTACATGCATCTCAAAGTTCTTGTTATTTAATATTTGGAAGGGAAGTTACTGTGATTTAATGCAGATCATCATGGTTTTCATGCTAGCCTTTGTCTGTGCTAATGCCTGCTGAACATTCAATGGACTCAATAGATATAATCTAGGGAAAAAGATAATGGACTTGTAAAGTGCAACACATTAAAAGGTTGTTCATAGCTACCCTTTTATATATTACTGAAGTGCATCTTGCGGAGTTAACAGGACGTGGAGTGCAATAATCTATACCCAAGCAGCTGCACTTTACGGGCTGGGATTACAGTTTCTTTTCCTTCCTGTTCCATATTAAATATAAGGACAACTCCAGTCTGCCTTGTTTTGTGCAAATTAAGTATGGTACTCAGGCTCTTGACCAGCTTTTTGTCCCTCGCATGGATGAACTCTCAACTGGCTGCTACCCACAGGACATCGCTAAACACTTCTGTTTTCATATTTATCTATATTTTGTTAACTTAAAGTCTTGATAGGGAACAGAAACTTCCCTGTCACCTCCTGCCATCTTAAAGCCTGTTGGTTCACTATTGCTTTGTTTCATGGGGTTCTTTTTCTTTCTTTTTGCCAACAGGGGAGTCTGTGCCAGAGTACCAGATGGCATTCCAGACAGAAGTCGGAAACCATCCCACTTTTGAAGATATGCAAGTCCTGGTGTCTAGGGAGAAGCAGAGACCAAAATTCCCAGAAGCCTGGAAAGAGAACAGCCTGGTGAGACAGCATATTTACAGAGAAATTTTGGATTGAGCCAGCTAAGTGGTGTTCTCGCTCCTCAAAGCCAAATGTTGCATATATTTTTTCTAATTGACATTAATATTTAAAGTTTGAGAGTTGGTCCAGACTGCACTTTTTAAATAATGAAGTCAATTAAAATACTTCGTATAGAACAGTTCATATTAAAATAAGGGATTCTGAAAAAAGAAATACTATGGTTACCACCAGATCTTAAGAAGTTACAGGCCAGAAGGACATGTCATATTAACATTTATATGTGTATTATAAGTACAGTACACTTGAGGCACAAATATAAAAATATTCCCTATAATATTTCCAGGATATCCAAGAATGCCCAAAGATGTTACTAATGAAAATTTCATTACGCTTGCAGGTGAAGCCAAATAACACAAATACTGTAAGCATAGCATTTTCTTAATCATATTCCTTTTCCCAAATTATGTATTTTATAACACTACTGAATTTTAAAAGTAATATAGTGCTTCACATTTTTATAGTTATTTGAATTTTTTATTCTAAAACGTGTGAATAAGGCAGATTTCTGTTGTTGCTGTTGTTTATATTATCATAGCACACAGATGCACTAGTCTTGGCCCAGGACAGAGTACACTACAGACTGCACAGCCACTGAACACAGACATCCCTGTCACAAAGAGTTTACTGATAAGTATCAGACAAGAGAACAGATAGATACAGACTGATGGCGAAGACAATGACAGTTTCAGTCAGGATGGTAGTCAGTGATTTCAGTACACCAACAACTTTTGTCAAGATTTTGGGTGCATCATGACGAAGGAGATATTTGAAAAAGAATAATGAAGTAGCTTTAGGATATTAAAGGGAGCTTCTCCCAAGTATGTACAGTAGCAGGGAGAAAACACAAAGGTGCTTGTTTGGAAATCTAGCAGATGTGAATGGCAGCTTGCCTTCTGAGCCACTTACCTTACAACCTCTTCATACTACACAACTGGTGATGAGTAGAAGGCGAAAAGTCTCGAAGGAGAAAGCAAATTGTTTGTTCGTTGAGTTAGAAAAGCATGGGCCAGCAGAGGGATGAAATAATAAATTCATGGCCAGGAAACTGAATTTTGCATCAGCCTTCTAAGTGAATATAAACTGTGTCAAAGCCAGAGAAAGGATATTGCAGTAATTGAGACACAAGATGTAAAAGGCTTGGGCAACCTGTGTGGATAGAGAGACATGCCTGTAACATAAGAGATGCTATGCAGAAATAATCTGGAGGATTTGTACATAGCCAGAATATAAGGAATTAGACAGAGGTCCAAAGTGAACAGGAGATCCATGTTACAGTCTGAGTGAAGGCAAATTGATGGTGTCATCCACACTAATTTAGAAAGAGAACATAGGAACACAGGTACCATGCTAGGTCAGGTCAGTGGTCTGTCTAGCCCAGTATTCTGTCTCCAGGAGTGGCTGAAATGAACACTATAGAGGAAAAGCATTGAATTGGCTATCTCTAGTGTGATCTGTCCCCTATTCAGTATCCTCCTTGGCTTCCACCACTATTGGTTGTCTCCTCAAAGGGGGCAACTCCAACTGTTCTGTTCAGTACCCATTAATAGATTTATTATTCATGAATTTATCCTGTCCGTTTTGAACCTGGCTATGCTATCTGCCCCGACCACCTCCTGTGGCAGTGAATTCCATAAGTTAACTGCATTGCATTAAAAAGTACTTTCTCTTGTTAGTTTTAAACCTGTTACATCTTAATTTTAGCAATAGCCCTTAGTTCTAGTATTCTGGGACTTGGTGAACAACAGTTCCCTGTTCACTTGGTTCACATGTTTCTTGATTTTTATAGACCTCTATCGTATCTCCCCTCAGCCTTCTCTTTCCAGATTGAAGAATCGTGGCCTTTTTAGTCTCTCCTGGTATGGCAGATGCTCCAGGCCCCTGATCATTTTGGCTGCTCTTCTCTGTACCTTTTCTAGTTCTACATCCTTTTTGAGATGCAGAGACCAAAACTGCACACAGTATTCACAGTATTCAAAATGTGGGCACAACATGAATTTGTATAGTGACATGATGATGCTCTTTGTTTGGTTTTTGGTTCCCTTCTTAATGATGTTTTTAGAGAACTCTCTACAGTGCCTCCAAGGTTTCTTTCCTTAGAACAGCAGGTTCAGAACTCAGCACTGTGTACATATAGTTGAGGTTATTTTTCTCCATGTGCATGACCTTGCACTTGTTAACACTGAATTTTATCCACCATTTTTTGCCTACTCCATAGCTTGGTGAGATCTTTCTACAGGTCCTTTGTGTCAGCTTGGTACTTGATTACCTGGAATCATTTGGTGTCATCTACAAACTTGAAGATTTCACTGTTCACCTCCATTTCCAGATCATTGGTGAAAATGTTGAACAAAATAAGGTCCAACACAGATCCCTGCAGGACCCCCTTTTGACTTCCCTCCAACCTGAAAAGTAACCATTTATCCCAGCCTTTGCCTCCTAACTTTTAACCAACTCTCAGTCCACAAAATAACCTGCCCTCCAATCTGTAGCAATGCAGTTTTTAAAAAAAAGCCTTGGTGAGGGCCAGAGTTTGTGACCTTTTTTGTTTTCCTTATTTAGGTATGCCTTCCATTTTCTAAAGGATGCTTTTTTGCTTTGAATCGCCTCCTTAACTCTGCTATTAAACCATGCAGGGGTTTTATTGGACTAATCTTTCCTTAACACCCCAAGACAGGCGTGAGGTGTAAGGGAGAGATTAAGAGCTCTGTTTATTTGGGTTGAGCTAGCACTAAAGGCTGAACATCCACAAGATGTTGGAGAAATTGGCCCAGAGTTTAGTTTGAACAAACAGAAATGAGTTTGGAATAGAGCCAGATCTATAAATTGCCCACAGTAGGGATAATAGTTGAATATGGGTTTAGAGATGAGCTTACCCTGAGGTAAGAGATAGAGGAAGAAAAGAAGGGGCCAGAGGCAGAGCCCTGAGAAACCCCTGCAGAAAGCTGAGGAGGGATGAGGAGGATCCTCTGAAGAACAGCTGAAAAAGTTATTAGAAAGGTAGGAGGAAAACCAGAAGAAGACAGGCAGCCAGCACCGGAAGCCAACAGAAGAGCAGATTTCAAAAGGGGCAGCATGGTGAACTCTGTTGAAGGGGGCTGCTCAGTCAAGAAAAAGGAAGAAAAAAATACTGGTTATAAGATCTGGGTTTGAAAAACTGATCAGTGACTTCCGTTAAGAGGTCTTTCAGTAAGTTTGGGGGTGGAAACTGTATTGGTGAGGGCCTAGGTTGGAATTTGAGGAAATGAATCCCCAAAGATAAAATGGAAAAGGCAGTTGAGGGTGGTAGTCAAGGGTAGATCCAGGGGGATGTTGTGGTGCAGTCACAATGCACTTTGATTCCTTTTCTGCCCCTGCCATCCATGTTAGCCGAGGTCCCGTTCCTGCTACAGCCAGTCTGTGCAGCCCCTCTTCCAGAGCTGGACAGGCAGCCAGCAGCCCCTGCCATGTCCTGTGTGCCTCAGAGATCAAGGGCCTGATCCTGCCTGCACTTCCTTTTTCAAAATTCTAGATTCACTGTTGGTGGTAGTTAAAGAGGCAAGTGAAGTCAAAGGTGTTTTTTAAGATGGGAGAAATTAAAGCATATGTATTATGAGTGTTTAGATTTTTAAAAATCCCTACCTTGGTCCAGTCAGTTTAATCCATAGAGCTCTGGGATTCTCAAGTGTTCTGCTCCATGTTAGTAAGTGGCTGAAACTCATTTTCTCCATAAACTGCTCCTAAACTGCATCCAAGCATGCACTTAACACATAGCAATAAACTGCATCAGAGTTTATTGCTCCTAGGCGCAGTGTTTACATATGTGCCTGGGACCACAGCACGTTGAGCCAGGGCAGAACAGCCCTAGCTGGCAGGGGGGGTCTGGGGGATCAACCTGGCAGCCCAGGGCTGCTCTGCCCTGCCTCAGCATGCTGCTGAGGGGCTGGCTGGGGCATGAGCGTGCTGCAGTGTGGGTCTAGCCAGCAGGCAGCCCACACACTGTAGCACCCCTGTGCCCCATTCAGCCCTGGTCACTGTCTACACTGGTGTTTTGGCGCACATAATTATTCCACTGTAGGATGGTACTTGTCCCAGATAGTACTGTCCTACACCAGCAGAGTTAATTAATTTACTGAGCCCTAATATGGGTGCGTGTGTAGATGGTGATGCTTTACTGCAGAGCTAGTTAGTCAGCTCCACAGTAAGGCACACATATAGATGCACCCCTAATATTGGAGATCTTTACATGGAAAATGCAAAGTATCTTGATTCACATGTTTATTTCACTACAGAATATAAAATAGTCCAATAAGTGAGAGAAGTGGTGATTAAAAGAATCAAGAGATATATTATTGACTTTTGATGAAAAGAGAGCTTTATCTACTCTAGCACTTAGAAAACGGTTTCAGACACATTTATGAGGAAGTCAAAGCCTCTGGTACTATAATGTTATAAAACACATTGTGACCTGCGTTCCAGTCTACTTGCGGAGGTGTTTTATTACCAGGGATCCTGGTTTTCCGTGATAAAGAAAATCACAAATTCTCTGATAAATTGCAA